CTTGTCAAATTCGTCTCGGAGTTGTTGGGAGAGAGCCTGTAGTCATCAAGACCATCATTATATTTGATAGGTTTCAGCACTTCCAAAATCTCCTCCAATAAGCCAATTTCCAGCTCGAGTGATGACCTCCTCAACATAAGGTAATCCAGGAGCAGTGGTTCCCCAAGGTTCTAGCTATTCTCTCTTCCTTTATGCTTGTAGTTCAACACTGCATAGGAGATTAATGGTTAACAGCTAAGAGAGGCCATGAGCAGAAATTTACTTACATAGCGAATGTATTCAACAATCTTATTTTCAAAAAATATGGCTTACATTTAAAAACAAACCGAGAAGAAACTGAAATGAAAGAGACATTAATCATCCAGAGTACAAAATGTGAGACTTATGAAAATACAAGAAGTTAGGAAAGGTCAAATATTTCTTAAAACAAATTTCATAAGTCTTCCTCAGTTTATTTAAAGGTCTCCCCTAACACAGACAGATCTTCTCATATGATAGTTTTTTCCCCTACACATAGAAAAAAAATGAAGGTAGATCCAATCTGGTTTTTAACAGGGTATTGTGACAACATAATTTTATAAAGATGAGGACTTTGTGAGAAGAACTGGTTCCATTTATGGTCATCTCAGATTTTAACTGAGCCACTTCATAACTTGGTAGCAAGAGAGGAGGCTCAGCAAGACTTTCTTGCCTTTCAGGAATTTGAAGCAGAACCTAAGACCTTTCATCTCAGCTAGACCATTCCAAACTCAAATTCATGTCTCTAAACAATGGAGACTAGATAGTGATACTTCAGATCACCTATTTGAAATCATTCCAAGACTATTTGATACTTTTGGACTTCCAACCCTATTGAAACATGCCATTTTTTAAGGCCCAATTCCCTTTCCACATATCATCCAAAGACAGTGAAATGGGATTGCCACCACTGCTTTATGAAACAAGGTTCTAACACGGAGATATCTCCAAACACAATGCAGCTTGCAGTTTCGTTGCCACCTGCACTAGGCGGATCGGATGGGAAGCCAATTCCCATCCTAGCCTCACGCAAGTTTGGCATTTAACATTTGAACATTTGAGGATAAAAAGTTTTAATTTGACTAAGATGGTTCAACATATAATTTCTGTTAGAGCCATTTACATTAATGTTCACAAATCACCCTTCCGTAGAGCTTACTGTTCAGTTTTACAATAGCCATTTACATTAATGTTCACAAATCATCTACCAGCGCATATTTCTGGAGCTGACCAATCCCCTTCTTGGGGGTTTCAAAAAATTTCTTCAACCAACCCCTTCTGCAATGGAATTTCTTCAAAAAATTTCTGCAATGGTATCTGTTCCTTTCACAATTTTACTCATTAAACTATCCCACCAAAATTCACTACAAAACACCACAATTGAACGATCAACAAGAAATTAAACACCAACCAGAAACGAAAAATACGCCATCAGACCTAACTAACTTCGAAGAATTGACAACAAAATCTCCATCAGGCCCCAGCAACGCCACATGCGAAGAGGACCCAATTCTCCCTTTGGTTCGTCATCAATGGCCAACACAATGGGAAGGGACATGTTCACGAAAGAACCATCCTTGACCCTAAGGGAATTGAAATGCAAACTCTGAAGATACTCATCCTCCCTCATGAACCCTCTCAAGGGACTAGCCCACCCTTCCCCCACCACATGCACCCACTCAAGATCAATCCTTGTGAGCTGCACCTTGGGCAGCGTCTCGGCCTCAATGATCTTAGCACCCCTCACACTCTCAGGCACCACAAGATCCACCAATGCCCCCCCATCAGGCTCTATCAGAGAACTCTTGACCATGGCACCACACTGCACTCTTGGCCTAACTCTACACGCGGGGATGATCAAAGGGTTGGTGCTATAAATGGGCTTGGGACGAATCTTGGCGTTGTAGCAACAAGTTTCGAAAGTTGTACCTTTTTTGCAGGTGTGGTGGTGGGGTGGGAGGCAAGAAGATGAAGCCAAGTGTAGCTTGATGGTTAGACTTAGAGACATGCTATAGAGGGAAAATGGAGTGTTGTTGGAGAGAGAAGAAGTAAGGCGTGAAGAGAAGGGAAAGTGAGAAACGAACGCGTGTAACGTGGGGAACACAGAAGCAAAACCAAGGAGTGTTATGGTATTATGGTGTGGCACAGTTTCAGTGGCAACCACTACCTATGAATATGGCGAACATGTTGGAGTGATAAGGCCCACGCAAGTGGGTTCGTATGCCTTTTGAGTGTGTGGACGAGAAAATGGTGCAGTCATGCTGCTGCAACTGGGGACCATGATTTGTACTTAAAGCCTCAAAGCTAAAGGTAGAACCGTTCCTGTTCAAACCGCACCAAACTCAAAATTCAATCACTTGGTATGTGCTCACTAAAACAAGGACAAGGAACAGACAAAACTACAGTTAGACTTAAATATTTTTAGAAGGAAAATGTTATTTGGACAACGAAATTTTGACACACAATTAACAACGCCACGTGTCAGCTCTGCATTGGATAAATAATTTGAAAATAAAACAGAGAAAGGGTTACGGGGCGAGGGGGATTTTGGGGATTTGCCAGGGGAAAATTTAAGAATTGGGTTTGGGCGTTAGGGTGGGAAAGAGTTGTTTCAACCCTTCCATATTGTGTCTCGCTCTCTCGCTCTATCATTTTTACTTTGGTTGTTAATCTAACTTATATGACAAAAAGTATGATTTGATTTGAAAAAATGAACGCAGCTTTAAGGCGTTTGAAAAGTACAGACCAGTTTCATAAAGTAATGGTAAATTAATGGGAGGAGTTGTTTATCAAATTCTAGTGGGGGATGGGTGTTGGGCATTGGATGTAAACGCACGAAGTGGGGTGACCCGTGGGAGTAGGGAGAGAAAAGTAGTGGCAAGGATGAGTCAGAGTGTGAAAAAGGGTCTGGAATCGTTACAGAATCCTGGTAACGATTACCCGAGAGAAACAAGTGGATGTTGTACATACAGTCTCAACACAGGTTAGTCAGCCAGGTGAGACAAAGGGTCACCCATTTGGCAAAAAAGCCAGTTTTTAGGCAGTTGTGCACCTGTCTGAGGCTTTGGTCCAGGTGTTTCAGTGGTGGGAGAGAGGGTGGTTGGTGAGGTTGATGATGGTCCAAGGAGTGTGGGGTCACCCCTCATGAGTTGGAGGAGCAAGCTCGCAGGGATTGAGTGAGGTGTTCAAAAAAGGGTTATGGTAATCGGTTACAGCATCCTGGTAAACGATTACCCGAGACAAAATGGATTTTGTACAGAAATCCAAAACACAAGTAGTTCAGTCAGTGAACAGGGGTCACCATTGGAAAAAAGGTGGGGGGGGGGGGGGACTTTTATGCAAATAGCCACCTGTCTGATGAGGCTGGTACAGGTGTTCGTGTGGTGGGAGAGGGTGGTTGGGATGTGTGATGTGAGTCCAAGACTTGTGGGGTGACCTCATCAGTGGAGGAGCAAGTCTGCAAGGGATTTGTTGACAAAAAACCATACAAGTGAATTTAAGGGTCATTACTGGTTGGAGGTTATGGTTGATGACCCCACGGAAGGGGGGAAGAAGTTCATTCTTACTGAGGGGACCAAGTGGACAAGTGCAGAGACTAATCTGAGATAAAACCTGGTCGTAATCGTTTACACGAGAGACATCATGTTTTGTACAGGAAAGTTGAACGAAATAGTCAGTCTGAGTGTCCTCGGGGATCATGGCAAAACCTGTAATTGAAAGCACAGTCCACTTGATTTACTGGTGTTGGTGTTTGACTGGGGTAGAGGGGTGGTAGGTGATGGGAGGTGACCCCAGACGTGGGAAAGAAGCCATTCTTACTGAAGGGACCAAGTTGGACAAGTTGCAGGCCAAATCTGACCAGAATAAACACTATGGTAATCGTGTACAGATCCTGTAACGATTTACAGTGTCAAAAAAGGTTGTAACTTGGAATTTCAAGGCATAATTTGAAAGTCTTTGAGTATAGATTACAACAAAACAAGATCAACGCAGTTGGAGTTAGGTGGTGGAGAAGTTATGAGCAAAAGAACAACGCAAAAGGTGGAGAGTGGCAAAAAATATATGAAACGATACTGAAAGAAATAAACTGTACCAACTCAGTGTCCAAAAATTAAAAACTTAGTAGTCATTGGAAAGAGTTTTGAGTCTAGTTTTAATAAAAAAAGAATACATCATTGGACGTCGTCGTGGAAAAAGTTACAGTAAATAGCCAGCAAAGGTCAAAAGGTGACAGCATGTTATCCACCCCAAGTTGCTCATATATTAAACATTGTTTGTGTCCCATAATGGGGGTGCCAAAACATCAATTCCCACAATTGTGATGAAACACCAGGACCAGCCTAAGAAAAGTGCAAAAGTGCTTAAAACTCACCTTTTTGGCCAATGGTGACCCCAGTTAACCTGACTGAGTACCTGTGTTGGACTTTTGTACAAAATCCATTTTGTCTGGTAAATGTTTACAGTGTCCTTGCTAATCATACAGTGTTGTCAAAAAAGGTGTTTTGTATTGTTAAACTTGATTTCTAAGGCATAATTGGAAAAGTCTTGGAGTATAGATTCCAACAAAACAAGAATCAACTCATTTGGAGTTCGGTGGAGAAAGTTATGAGCAAAACAACAAGCAAAGGTCAGAGTTGGCAAAAATATATGAAACGCTAACTTGAAAGAATAAACTGTACCAACTCAGATGTCCACAAATTACAAATTCGTGTCATGGAAAGATTTTTTTGCGTCTAGTTTCTAATAAAAAAAGAAGAAAATCATTTGGACGGCGGTGGGAAAAGTTCGCAGTAAAATAGCAAGAAAAGGTCAAAAGTTGACGCATGTTATTCACCAAGTGGCATCATAAAAACATTGTTTTTTCCTCCATCATGGGGTGCCAAAACATCACTTCCCACCATTGAAACACCAGGACCAGCCTAGGAAAAGTGCAAAAGTGCTTAAAACTCACCGTTTTGGCCAATGGTGACCGTGAAGCCGATGCAGTTTTTGCCTTCCAGTTAAGAAACCCTGTGCACAATGGCCATGCCTTGTTAATGAATGATACTCGCAAACGCCTTCTGGAAATGGGCTACAAAAATCCAATTTTACTGCTTCATCCTCTTGGAGGATTCACAAAGGTTGATGATGTTCCCTTGGATGTTAGGATGGAGCAACATAGTAAGGTAATTCCTAGAGTTACCGTAATGTTAATGTGAATGAGAATGTTCTGTATCAATGTATGCTCAGAAATGACCTTGGAAGTGATTAAACTGTTGTGCATTTTCAGAAATCTATTCATTTTATTATTGAAAAATCCATGGAATTTTATCCTCAAATCTTTTTGTGTTTATGCTTAGGTCCTGGAAGATGGAGTTCTTGATCCCGAGACTACCATAGTTGCCATATTTCCATCGCCTATGCATTATGCTGGTCCAACTGAAGTACAGTGGCATGCCAAGGCACGCATAAATGCAGGTGCAAACTTCTATATTGTTGGTCGTGATCCAGCAGGTATGGGTCACCCAACTGAGAAAAGGGATTTGTATGACCCTGATCATGGAAAGAAGGTTCTTAGCATGGCTCCTGGTTTGGAGAAGCTTAACATTTTGCCATTCAGGGTAAGAAGTATTACTTTTACATGTGCCTATAGCTTCTTAATCCAGTGAGAGTTACCTTCTTTCAATGCTATCTTCTGCATGATGTTTTGCTTAGTATTTTGTACTTAGTTTCTTTCAAGCTGATACTTAATTAAATCAAGTAATCAACTTTTTAGTCATGCATACCATGACTTGTTTTTGGGATGAGAAATAACATTGTTTTATTCATATATGTAGAAAGTTGTTCACTTAAGCTTAATATACTAACTACCGTTATGATGCTGAATTGTTTGTTTTCTTCTGTGACTGTTTGGACGATAGATATATGTCTGATAATATATACTACCTACCATTATGATGCGGAATTGTTTGTTTTCTTCTGTGACTGTTTGGACCATAGATATATGTCTGATAATACCTGTTTTCTTGTATGCCATTTTTAAATTACAGGTGGCAGCTTATGACACTAAGGTTAATAAGATGGCATTTTTTGACCCAACCCGTGCTAAAGATTTCCTCTTTATTTCTGGAACCAAGGTATTTGATTCCCTGTCCTTCAATAATATGTTTCAGGTTCTACGAACCTTAAGTTGATACTTGTCAACACTACTCTCATCATTACATATTAGGATATTATTAGAAATTCAAATGAGAGATTGAGTAAGAATAAGCGAGATGAGTACTATATAAGAAAGATTTTAGGATTTTCGGTTGAAAGTAGTGTTTTAGTCTCTTATAGAGTCCTCATACTTTCTTGGTAAATGTAAGGACAAAAACCGAACTTTGAAATACTGAGAAATCAAAAATATATTTTACTCATTATAACATGTTAAGTGCAAGATATTGAGATGCTGGTTCTGTGAATAGAATCAAACTTTTACACTCCAATATTATGTATCATCAAGTTTGGTTTCTGAAATCCTTTGACAATTGACAACATTTCTTTACAAATTTTCATGGTTTCTTTGATGATTTATGTTTGTAGATGCGGGCTTTTGCGAGAAGCGGGGAGAAGCCACCAGAAGGTTTCATGTGTCCAAGTGGGTGGAATGTTCTTGTGAAGTACTATGAGAGTTTGCAGGCAGAGGAGCCATCTGAGCAGCCTGTGCTATCTACCTAGACATAACTAGAAGTAGAAGTTTAGCATGAATTGATTCCAAAGGGAGAGTGTTAAAAACACAGTTCTGGGAGTGCCAATTTTTGTGCCTGGTCTTCCAGCTTCATGATGAAGATTTAATCAATGCGCAAGCATATTTGAATTTTTTGTACTATATTGAATCATCCTTTTCGTTTGAAGTTACTATGACTGAGGAATTTGTTGTGGTGCATCAAGCATGATTGCAGATGTAGTCTTCTACTGTAGACTCCTGTAAGACCAGTTTAATAAGAGTTAGGGAAATTCACCACAGCCTTGGTGCTTATGTCCATCATGGGAAACGGTTCATAACTGCAATTGTGGTCACAACTTGAAGGATTTTGAAGTTTGTGATCATCATGATCGTAACTGTGCTGCATTATCTGTGTTTATCAACAATTTTTCACAATATTAAAGATTGTGACCACAATTTAGATGAGTTAAAAATTTGCTGAGATGTGATTACTGGTATGTTACCGTGTTGGGCAAGTGTATCAAGATGTGATTTTATGATAGAAGAAAAGTTTAACAAGTTTGAAGTATTTCATAAATTTATATATTTTCAATTAAACTTTTATTAAATTTTTGGTTTACGAGTACTTTGAATTTTTTATTTTTAATTAAGCTTTTGTAATTTGATTTTTTTGGTTATTATGAGACTATTATTTTGTTTTCTTATCTTTTTTTATTTTATTTTTAGTAAACAAATGTGAGATTTTGTAATTAATATAAAATAATATTAAAGTTAATGTAAAATGAATTAAAAGTGACTCTTACTATTTTTATCCAAAATATGTTGATAATGAGATTGTTACGCTTTCATGATATTTCACATTATCAACTACACTAACCAGGAAACTTTGTCACATTTTAAGTACAAATTCATTTAAAAATATTTAAATTTATCATGAAGCTTAATTAAATTTCAAATAAATTTTGTTATAATGCTGCATTATTTAATTGCTGCTTTCTCAGTGTTGAACCATCTTTGAGAGATAAAAAAGTCTAGGGAAACATAATTTGATGACTATTTATTATATTTAACTAATTTCTTTCTTTAATTTTATTTTATAATGCCAATTTTTCTCTATTAATTACCTAATTTGGTCCCTGCCAAATTTGTGGGTTGGCTATTAGGTTTCTAAAGAAAAATTCATGCATTTGGATCTTTGAAAAATTTCCCTTCTATGAAGTAAATATGAACCATTAAATCTATTAAATGACATTGTGACTTTTTTTTAAGGACTAAAAACCTTCTAACTCTTCTAAGGTTAATAATCTTAACATAATAATATACTGGGCACAGGAGATCGGATATCCCAATCTGGACATTGAATATCGATGTCTTCTAACTAAAATTGATAAGAAGTCATGGATTGGATAGTTTTATTTTAGATTATAACTGATCAGATATAAAATATCCATCAAAATTGACAGGTTTTATCAATTGAACCAGTGAGTTTAAATATAATTTTGAGAACTATATTTAATAAAAAAATCTAACAAACGCACTTCTCTCAAACGAAATTTAAACTTGATTAACCTTATTATATATTGTAGAATATTAGTATCTTTCTTTAGACTCAATTCTAATTTATATATGAAAGTAGTTAATTAGGTCAATTGTTCAAACACTATCTCAGGTTAGTCCTTTATCAAAGTTTTATTTATCTCCTTACCAATATTAGATGAAAGAAAACTATACACTATATAAGAGCTTAGAATAATGAGGTACACCATTAATGTTGTGTAGTCACACGAAACCGTGAACATGGGAGCGAAAAGGAGAGGACAACGTTAGCATGTGATCATGGTATGGTCGGCCATTCGAGAGAGGCTGGAGGTGGTGTTCCATTATTTCAGAACTTCCTTCTTTTTCAGTTTCAAAAGTACTCTATTACCCAACTTTAATAGCATCAATGAATGTCAAATTAATGCAATAAAATTTCATAAGTTGATCCACTTTCCTTCCCTAAAAACAAAAATTT